GGGGAGGGGGCTCGGGGAGGCAGCGCCCGGGAAGATGGGGGAGGGGTGCGGGGAGACTAGCAGGCGTGGGGAGGGGAGAACGCAAGGAAGGGGCTGGGGGGGCAGGGAGGTGAGGGGGCGGCGGGGGGGCAGGGACATGGGTCTGGGACTTGAGGCGCAGGGGAAGTGGGGTCTCGGGGAGGCGGGAAGGTGAGGGGGCGCGGAGGGGGCGGAGGGCGGCAGGGGCGCGGGGCGCGAAGGAGGCGAGGAGCTGGCGGCGGAAGGCGGGGAGGGGGCGGGGTGCAGGGGCGGGGGCGGGGGCGGGGCGGGGCGGACGCAGGGCGGGGCGCGGGCCCCGCCCCCAGGGCCGCAGGAAAAGTTTGCGCCCCGGCGTGCGCGCGCAGAGGCTGAGCCGGCCGGTCCTGGGGACACGCGACGGGGACGCGGCGCCAGCGCGGTGGCCGGACGAGCTCGGGCGAGACCCCCGGCCGGGGAGCGACCCCCGCCCCCTCCCCAGGACTCTCCCGCTGCCCCGGTCCGGGCCGCCTGGGAGCGGAGGAGGGGTGGCCGGGATGCGGGCGGCCGCAGTGCCTTTGCCGGACGGAGGTGAGCGGCGGCGGGCGGGGGCGCCGAGCCCGGGCGGGCGGGCGGGCGGGGGCAGCCGGGCCCGCTTTCTCGCCACATTCCAGCCCATCCCGGGCGTGACCGGGACCGGCGCGGGGAGCCGCCCCCTCAGCACCGCGCTGTCCCCCAGGCCATCTATTCCGGGGCCGAGCCCCCGCGGCGGGAGAGGGGATGGTTCCCTTTTCACCGCGGCCGGACCGTCTAGACCGCGCTTCCCCTTAACGGCCCTTCCCCGGGACAGTTAGAAGGTCAGGAGCCCTCCCGGGATGAGCACCTGGGGGTCCGGGGGAGGGGTCCTTCTCCTGGGAAAAATATCCCTTTAAATTATATTCGCTGCGAACTCCTACTTTTTCCTTCTGTTTCTCAAAGTAGGCAGTGGGGACCGTCAGAACCGGGGCTGCAGCGCAGCCCGGGTCCCCGCGAACAGGGGCGCTGCCCTCAGAGCTAGATAAAGGCAGGGGAAGGGGCAGGGCATGCCCTCCTGTGGCCCGAAGCGAGAAACTTGCCTCAACCCCGCTCGCTCTCCTCTCTCTCTCTTCTGGCCGTGGCCGCTCCAGGGACATACTTCTCTGTGGGGTTTCATACTGAGATGTAAGAGGAACTTCTTGTGGGGCTTCAAAGGGGAGACCACATTGGGTTAGAAAGATCCCCGGGAGCAGCCGGAACACAAGGCTCTTCTGGAAGATTCTTTCAAAAGGAGAAGGTCCACGCTGACCAATTCCAGAATTTGGCATCTTTCTTTCTAAGTCTGGAGCTCGAGCTTGCAGACCTTCGCTGCACGTGACCACACACTTGTAATTCAGCTCGTCCACATTCTTGTCTTCCTTCGTGGCCATCTTGCAGGCCTGGTTAAGGAGGACAATTGGGCTAGAAAGGACCTGGGCCGAATTACATTCCGCGGGTACGTGGCCGTCCCGTGGCTGATGGTGTGGCCGTAGGTGTGTTGTACTCCACGGCTCGTGGGAGTGTCTGGATCTGTATGATTTCTCACGGAACCGAGGCAGAGCTCGATGCCAGAATGAATAATCTTGTGCCCATAGGAGGGCCACACGTGGGGTGTTCTCGGTCAGCAGACCTTCACTTCCCGCCTGCCGGGCTCGGTCACCTGACACCAGAGACTAAAAGCCAGCCCTTTGGAGCCCCTCCTGCTAAGTTATACAAGGAATGGCTTCTCAGCCAATCTCGTCTTTGAAAATGCTGCTTTCCCCCTTACTTTTCAGCACTTGGTAATGAGCATGGCTCTCCTGATTCACTGCCACGTGTGGGTAGTTGAAACTCCCATTTCCCGAAGAAGGAGCCTCACGTGTTGGCCCAGGGATGTTCTCGAAATGCAGGCGCCGCTTTTCTTTCCTCTGGGAACTAGGACACTGACTGGGTCTTCTCGGATCGTTCCCACCCTCTAAAGGTGCTTCGATGCCCCCCGCGTGTGCACATGTTCTCACGATCCAGAAGTGAGAATCTGAGCATGCCGTAATCTTGAAAATGTGGGGGTTACCCTTCTGTGAAGCCCCTTTTTTTTCTGCCAGGACTTTGTGCTGGGACACAGCCGGCTTGGCCCTGAGCGCCTCAGGCCATCGGTGAGGGGCCGTGCCGTGGGTCACCCAGCCTTTCTGGTTCCTCTCATGTGGCTCTGCCTTTTCATATGAGTTGGGAGCCACTTATTACTCCTTTGCTCCTTGGCCCCCATTTTCTGCTGTATTAATTAATTGCCTTAGGAGATGTTCCGTGAGCCTTCAGAGCTGACGCGAGGCACTTGGTGGCCTCTCCCCAGTCGAGGAGATGCCAGCATTTCACTTACTGCTGTGACAGCACCAGGCACACAGTTGTTCTGTTTTGTTTTCCTCCTGATTTTGAGGAGTTGCTGCCGTGTCTGTGGGAGGCCATGCGACAGGCCACCGGGTGAGTCAGTGAGAGACTGCTTGGTGCAGAGCATGGCACGCAGGGGTTGCTCTGGCGTCCGCTCGGCACCACGAACTGGGTCAGCCTGTGAGGCTCTTCTGCTTGGAGAAGCGGCTCCATCGCCCTGGTGTCCGTCTGCATGCCTTTGGCTGCCGGTGATACTCTTGACCTTCAGGTGAAGAACACGAGGAGGGGCGGGCGCTCCAGAAGAGCTGAGCCCTAACACGGTGCCTGGGAACCACAGCCCCGGACAGCCAGCACAGCCGCGTCTTCCGAGCTGTGCCTCCAGGGACAGAGACCATCACACCCCAGCCTCGGTTTCCTTCTGCCACGTCCAGAAGGCAGATGCCGCCGTGGGGACCAGACGTGCTGTGTCCCCGTCGTTCTGGGAAAGGATGGGAGGGACCCCACAGAGGACTCCTTGGGCCCAGGTATCTCTTATTTGCATATGCCCTTAGCTTCTGGGGAGCTCATTTCCACACACTGGCATGCATGGGGGGAGCAGTCGTGGCAAGAGTCCAGTCCCGTGCCCTCACTAGGAACACGCGGAGAAGGGGAGAGAGAAAGCAGAGGGTAAGGCCTCTTACATCTAAACCTTGATGAACAAGCCTGTGCACCCAGGAGAGAGAGCGCAGAGGCAGAGCCTGGGGCCTGTGCCGGGCTCCTGGGTCCACCCCGCGTACCCGGGCTGGCTGGAGCGCGCCAGCTCTGTTCCCATCTGAGGCTCACCTGCCTCGGAGAATCGCTGGTGGGAAAGCCACGGGGTAGCGGGAAGCCTGCTCATAAGGGTTATTCACCAGGGGCTCTGGGACTGGGCTGGAGCAGAGAGCCGGCGTGCCGGCCTGTGCGCAGAGCCTCTTGCCTTGACCACCTCTGAAAGCCCAGCGGGGTCACCTCAGAAATCTGGGGCAAGGAGAAATACTCATTAGCAAAGGAATTTCCTGGAGCATTGAAACAGCCGGCCCCTTATTTCCTTCCTAAATTGTTGTAAACAGCAACAACAAAATACTGCTTTCCAAGAAATTTACCAAGCATCGGCGAGTGGTTGGCGTTTTAGCTCAGTCTGGAGGATGAAAGCATTAGTTTCCCTGGGAAAACGTGCTTTTCAGAAACATCACCCCGCATCGGACCGGGCAGAATTTTTCACTGTCTTCATGTGGTTTTCTTGTTCACCAGTACGGAGAGGGAAAGGGAGAGAGACAGACCCCAGACTTTGGGGAAATATTTTCCTTTCCTTTTTTCTTGTTTTATAGTTTGTTTATTTTTTGAATTGCCATGTGTAGAGAAAGTGAATCACTAGCGTAGAGGGCACATCTGGAATCCATCGGCCGACCTGGGCTGGCCTGTCCACGGACGTGCCTCCTTGGAACAGAGGGATGGGGAGCCCCACTGATGTGACATGGCCTAACCTGGATGACGCGCCATGGTACCACCTTCTAGAAGGAGTCGTAGTCCTTCTCAGCAAAGGGAAGAAGCATTGGTGTTGAAATGCCTTGAGGTTGACTTGACCCTACCTTCATGAGGATGCTGGGAAAACTCTAGATAGAGGTCTCTGTTGAGTCCGTCCCCTGGGCACCAGGCGTGGGCAGTGCATCTCTTCACCATGAGATGCACACACCTCCTCGCTGGGCGCAGGTAAGCGGGAGGGGGGTGCGGGGGCCTGGGGAATGTGGGCACAGCCCGTGGGAGCCTGGAAGCCCTCAGCCAGTGGCCCTCAGCCCTCCAGAGCCTGGAAGTCATCTGCAGTGAGCAGAGGCTCCTCCCCCGAGTGCCCGCACCATGCAGCAACTTCTGGAACGGGGCCGGTGCTCCGAGCCGTATGAGACGAGAAGGCACACCGCCACCTTCCTCAGCATGTTTTATCAGCCTCTATTTCTGAGGTGTTCAGGGGAAATTAAGCAGGCATAGTGACACGCGGAAGCCACCCTGTGTTCACAGACAGGTGCAGCTGTCCTTGATGGGGGCAGGAATTACCGGCATCTGAACGCACCTCCATGTAGGACTGAGCATCGTGTCGGCACAAAGAACCCAGGCACAGTTACATGCTGTGGGACCCCGTTTATGCAGAAGTCAGAGACAGACGTGGCCCTCGAGGGGATGAGAAGCCCACCGGTGGGTCCCCTTCCTGGAGGGGTGCTGGGTTGGGCCCCTCCTCTGCGGGGCGGGCCAGGCTGGCCTCCCTGGAGCTGGTGCCGCATGCCTGGCACTTCTGGGAGGGATGTCCCCAGAGGGCGGAGGCCCCGCCTGGCCCTGAGCAGGGCTGACCAGCTCAGAAGTTGGGGGTAACTCAGGTCCTGCCGTGCCCCTGAGCCATGGAGGCAGAACTCCTCTGTGATGCTCTTGACCTCACACAGCCACACTCCGATGCATCCAAAATCAAGCTGGCTGTTAGCCCAGCACATAACTCTTGGGATGGAGTCTACGTTCTACCACTGAGAATCCAAAGAAAATAAGCTTTTAGTTCCAAAGAGAGCAGATGTCTTCCAGTTACGCAAAAGGGGGAGAATAGCATTTAACAGCGGATGTTCTGAGAAAGTATACTTTTTGAACGATGAATATTTCATCAAGGGAAATGATCAATGAAGCATTAGTGGGAAGATACATTCACCCTCAAAATGCTTGCTCTTGGTGGCTCTTGGCACATCTTCCATGTTTTCATTGTGGTTAGTTTACTGCTGGGTCCTGGCTTTACCGTTGGCTTGTTTACCTGCTCAGCTCAGTTCCTTCCGGACCTCGCACATGTGGGGAAGGGCACCCCTACAGCTCTTTACCTCCCAGAGGTCCAGACCCAGCAGCTTTAGAGGGACGCCCAACCCTTCCGTCCACACGGTCGGTGCAAGCCTGGGGGCGGGGAGTGCGCAGAGGCCGCACCTTGCGCGTCCTGGACCTCTCGTGGGGGAATGGGCTGGAGACGAGCTTCAGCTGTGCTGAGGCTTCAGAACCTTCCTGACGTGGATGCTTAAAGCCCCTTCTTGCCATCATGGGTATGAATTCATGAGCAGTTCACACTCCTTGTAACACTTGCACATTTCTACGGTTCAGCCTGTTGTGATGCTAACTCATGCCCACTGGTCGTGAGTCATGTGGACCACGTGTGTGTTGTGGTCAGTTCCTGGGACGGAAACCCAGGTGGGCGTGCAGGTGTGAGGAAAACCGGACTCAGTGCCGCGGGCAGCAGGCTGGCTGGCATGGGGTGTGGGGAGGCCCCAGGTTGGCCGTGTGCCCACCGCTGGCGGGAAGTCACCCATCTCAGGGCTCCGCGCCTTCCGACTCTCGGTGGGGCGGCACGTGCGTTTCTCGTCCCTGACTCTGTGCTGTGTCTTTTCCATGAACAAGGTGGTGCAGGGTCGGCCGGCACGTCTGTGTGGGGCTGGTGGTGCTCTGGGTGGGAAGCCAGCCGGGGCTCAGGGCCCAGTGAGCAAAGCAAGGTCGTGCTGTCTCCATCCACACAGGCCGTAGTAAAGGGCATTCATCGGGCCCCCGTTAGCTGATAGGCGCCATGATAGACGTGTGCGCGGTGTCCGCGTGAGCATGACCCAGGCGACCCAGGCACCCCAGGCCGAGGGCCCGGAGGCTGTCGGAGGCTGGATTTATTTCTACTCTTTACAGGACAGTGTGCAGTTTGTTGTAAGAAGTGGCAGGTAGGCTCAGAAGGGCTGGGCTGGTCCCAGAAATTGTCGCAGAGCACGAGGAGTTGAGTCGGGGCGAGAAGGACAGGACGGGGTTAGATTAGGTCCAGGGCAGGGGGAGGCTGGCCGTCGGCTGACCCGCACCTCCAGATGCACCTGCACACACAGCACAGGGGCCCGTTTCCAGAGCCAGCAGGGCGTCGAAGCCCCTACGCTCTGGGGAAGTGTCTGCAAAGAAGAAATGGCATCGCGCCCTTCTGTCTGAGGACCCAAGCCCGCCCCACCCCCCACTGATGGAAGGGAGGGCTGACCACCTCCCGGGCCCTGGAGGGAGTCCTGGGGGGGCCTGCGGTTTCCTCTCCTTCTCCCAGAGCAGCCACCAGCGCTGCAGCCCTGGGTCCTTCCGGGACCAGACCCTCGGGCGCTGTTTGTACCTGGCGGTGAGCTCAGCAGGCGAGGCTTCGGCTCCTACACACCCTACATTGCAGACCCCGTGCCACTGGGCCGCTGTCCGTTTGTCTCAGAACCAGGGCTCTGACCTGAACATTACCAACGTCAAGGAAGTCACGGCCGGAGAGTCAATGGGCTGTCTTAAGCTAACCTCATTGGATCTCACAGAGATACTTGCACAAATAATTGTAATTTAAACTCCGTGGGCCCACTGAAAGCCACATCTGGCTGTGATGGTGATGGTGCCGGGGGTGGCCCCGGGTGAGGGTGGGAAGTGTCAGGTTGGGAGAGGGTTAAAATCCGGGCCCCGGAGGGCCTGGTGCTCGGCTTCTCGCCCTCACAGGTTCCCCAGTGCCCCTGCGGGGCGGTCATTCCTTCCGGCTCACGTGCACACCTTCAGTTTTGGGGGCTCAGACAGTTTTATCCAATCCTGGGTGTTCAGCCAAGTCCAAAGCCCCAGTGCTCATCCCTGCCTTCCCTTCCTTCACCCTGGGTGGAAGTACGTACGGGTCTGCGTCCTGCCTGCAGACGGGAGTCGCTGCCCCAGCCGCCTGTCTCCAGGGAGCCCTGGGCCGTTCCTATACTTCGGATTTTCGGTGCCTTTCTCCAGCCTTGCTGCTGCCGCTGGCCCCCCTTAATCGCTGGGCGCCCCTCTTCTATCTCCACAGGCGCCTGCTCTGCACACCCTGGCCAGGCTCCCGCCAGGGCCACCGCCGAAGCCTGAGCCGGTGCCTTTTCTCTGGAAATGGACGTGCCCAGGGCGCCCCCTGGTGGCCTCTGGAGCTGAGCCTCGGCGAGCCCCCCCCATGGCGGCCGCGCTCCCGCCCGGGAATGAGACCCTGCACCAGCACTACAGCTATGTGGGCAAGCTGGAGGGCCGGCTGCAGGAAGCCCCCGACGGCAGCGTGCCGACCACCGCGCTGCTGCTGGCCGTGTGCAGCCTCATCGTGCTGGAGAACCTGATGGTGCTGATCGCCATCTGGAGGAACAACAGGTTCCACAACCGAATGTACTTCTTCATCGGCAACCTGGCCCTCTGCGACCTGCTGGCCGGCGTCGCCTACAAGGTCAACATCCTGATGTCGGGCAGGAGGACGCTGAGCCTGTCGCCGACCGTCTGGTTCCTGCGGGAGGGCAGCATGTTCGTGGCCCTCGGGGCGTCCACCTGCAGCTTGCTGGCCATCGCCATCGAGCGACACCTGACCATGATCAAGATGCGGCCCTACGACGCCAACAAGAAGCACCGCGTGTTTCTTCTGATCGGGATGTGCTGGCTGGTGGCGCTGTCGCTGGGCGCCTTGCCCATCCTGGGCTGGAACTGCCTGCGGGACCTGCCGGACTGCTCCACCATCCTGCCCCTCTACTCCAAGAAGTACATCGCCTTCTGCGTCAGCGTCTTCACGGCCATCCTGGCGGCCATCGTCATCCTGTACGCCCGCATCTACATCCTGGTGAAGTCCAGCAGCCGCAGGGTCACCAGCCCCCACACCTCGGAGCGCTCCATGGCCCTGCTGCGGACCGTGGTCATCGTGGTGAGCGTCTTCATCGCCTGCTGGTCACCGCTCTTCATCCTCTTCCTCGTCGACGTGGCCTGCAGGGTCAAGGAGTGCGCTGTCCTGTTCAAGGCCCAGTGGTTCATCGTGCTGGCCGTGCTCAACTCCGCCATGAACCCTGTCATCTACACGCTGGCCAGCAAGGAGATGCGGCGGGCCTTCTTCCGGCTGGTGTGCACCTGCCTGGCCCGGGGCCGCGGCGCCCGCTCCTCGCCCACCCAGCCCGCCCTGGACCCCAGCAGAAGCAAGTCCAGTGGCAGCAACAACAGCAGCCCTTCACCAAAGAGCAAGGAAGACCCCCCCCAGAGAGCTGCCTCCCCCAGCATAACCGACAGAAACACCCCTCTGCAGAACGGGGTTCTCTGCAAGTGAGGGCGCCTGCCTCTGGGAACGCGGGAGGGGAGGCCCGGGCTCTGTGGCCACGGCTGCACTTCCTGCACACCTCGCCCGGGAGCTCCAGAGCAGGGACTCAGGAGACCTATCTGCCAACAGCCTGCACGGCATGGATGTCACGTGAAGGAGGAGACCCAAGGACTCGCCAGCGTGTTTCATGGTGGACCGCGTGCTCTGTCTGTTTCGGCTCCGGAGTCTTCCAAACGCAGCACGCTGCCGACGGTATCTGCTGCCTCCCCGTGGACCCCACTGGCTGCTCCCGCGGGGCCTGGACAGGGAAGGTCGTGGGACCCACAGTGTGTGGTGTGTTTCTCAGATCGTGGCGATGATGTTTGGTGACTTCACGCTACACTGTGCATGGGGTGGATGCCTGTGTGTCCGTTTCTGTTACACACACTTGTGTGAGCACTTGTGTCTTGTACGTCTGCCATTGGTACATGGCACCAGCTTACACCAGTCAACGGCAGTATGTGACACAGCTCAATCACAGGAAGTCCAAGTATGTCCTGATAGAGCCGCTGGTGTAAGGACATGGATGGAAACCCGGTGGACACGGCAGCCCCGGGCTCCAGACTGACATGGAGTCTTGTGCCCAGCAGCCTTTGAAGGCCTGACTGCCCGGAGACGTGTGGTCCCAGGCAGGTCTCAGAAGTGTGGTCTGAAGGGTCCTGGGAGATCGGGTGATCTGGTGTTCTCTGGGAGCCCTGTCCCTGTTTCTCTTCGGTCCTGTGTCCCTGCACATCCAAACCCACGTGCACCGAATTCCCTGATTGTCTGGGGCTCCTGCAGATCACAGAAGAGCCAGTGTCTCCCAGGAGCCCGTCCCCAGACCAACCAAGAAAGGGACCCACGAGGGAGAAGCAGAGGACAGACACCCTGGCCTGAAGCAGAAGCAGTGGGCTGTTTAATGCAGTGGAACGGTCGTGCTGAGTCAGGGGAGGCTTCCAGGGCTGGGCCGGGTCTCGTTCTCTCCGATCAGGAAAGCCCGGAGGCAGCCGCCCGGTGCTCTCTCGGCAGAGCAGCCGGGGCGCCCGCGGTCTCCACACGCCCCAGAGCGAGCCTGACGGCGACCCGTCGGGAGTGCATGTGTGTGCACCCTCCGGGGGATGTGAGGATGCTTGTCTTCCCCGCTGCCTGGGCTGCCCCTCCTCCCTGGTGACCGCGTGAGGGGATGACTTAGGTGTCTCCGTGCGCCCCCCGCCCCAAGGAGCCCACCCGCAGGACAAACGTGTGCGCGTTTGCAAAGATCTCATAACCACAGGCTTCTTGGGAAAAACAAAACCGAGCCGCCTTCAGAAGGACCCTTAGTCGGGCGAGCCCACGTCAGAGCCCCAGGGGCTTGTCAGGTTCGCGGGGGGTTTCCGCCAAGTAAGACTCAGTCTCAACCCAGTAACAGTCTCGAAGAGAAGCTGGTCCTGACGTGTTAGCCAACGCATGTTCCGCGTCCCGTGGGTCCCGGGTGGTCTTGTGCGCTGACCAGACTGTCCTCGTTTCTGATACCGGCGAGAGAAATTGTACTTATAAGGGGACGTCCTCGGTGGCATTTTTGGTGGCTTCTTTACATCACTGAAAAGGGGCTGCTTTCTGAACTCAGAAAGCATTTCTAGAAAAGTCAAGCATTGAGGTACCGCGTTGAAAAAATGAAGCAGTGTTTCTGAGAGCCGAAGTGTCGGGCGTTGGTGCCCGCCAGGTGACCACACGACTTCAGGACCTGGTACCCTGGCTCTGAGGGGCGTTGGGGGCCTCATCTCTGGTGCTGCTATTAGTGACAGTCGCTCTACAGTCCCGTTGAGGGAAGGCGGAACTTGCAAGCAGTCTGAATGAGTTTGCTTGACGGAGGTAGCACGTGATGAACTGTAAGACCAGCGTCCACAGCCCTCGGCAGCCCCTCGGGCGCGTGCAGGAGTTGAGCGTCAAGGCCACAAAGAACTGGCACTAGATCTTGCTCAATTAGTAACCTTTGCCATGTCCCATGTGTTTGTTAAAAAAAATAAAACCAAAAGCCTGCATATAAACCTATCGTTGGAGCGCCTGGGTGGCTCTGTCGGTTAAGCGTCTGACTTTGGCTCAGGCCATGATCTCATGGTTTGTGGGTTCGAGCCCCATGTCAAGCTCTGTGCTGACAGCTCGGAGTCCACTTGGGATTCTCTCTCTCCCTCTCTCTCAAAATAAATAAACTTAAAAAAATAAAAAATAAAAATAATAAAGCTGTGGCGGGGGGTTGGTATGGGGGTACCGTGTGCACAGGGTCACCATGCGGTGTGCAGGGTGGTGGCCCAGCCTCCCACCGGGAGCCAGTATCCCGAGGTGGAAAGGGCTCTTGGAGCCCATACCCTCCCCCGTTCAGCTCCCCACCCCCATGGCCACTGTCCTGCAAAGCTGCCCTGGGTCAGGGTCTGGAGGCAGGACTGTTTGGAGGAGGCCAACCCTTAACCCTTCGCCAGGGAGAAAATCACGGGTCCTGACAGAGCCCGGTGGGTGGAGACGGGACGTCAGGTTCCACTCCATTTGCAACAGGAGAGAGTAGGTCAGAACCCGTCCCTCGCCCGGCAGTGTCCTTGATGAAAGGCCACGTCTATTGTGTGTGCGCACGTGTGCGCGTGTGTGTGTGTGCGCCTGCTCTGTGCAAGGCCTGCAGTCGGCCTGACTAGTGACGTCTGTGCTGATGTTGGTGGGGAAATCTCTCAGCACAAGCGAGGCGCACGGCGGCTCCCCGAGGGGGTGAGGCAGACGCGCCAGATACCCCGTCAGGAAGGCTGATGCCGGGGACGCGTGCCCTCCACACCCTTGGGGGGGCGGGGCTGTGCTGTTGCTGGGCTCCAGCCCCCCCCCTCGTGAGGAGCGCAAGACCCCCGCCCACTGGAGAGGCTGGCCGCGCGACCCTCTGTTGCTCACACTCAGGTGACGGTCACTCCAGCAGCGAGCTTCGCGGAAGATGCTGCTCTCTACCCCCGTGACCCGTGCCGCCAAGGAGGCTGTGCCGGAAGTGGAACCAGGCGCATTTTATAGAAAACTCCTCGCTGAATTAGCAAGTCTGTGCTTTTAAATCGTGTCCAAAATATCACAGGGTTTGCTGCACAGAAATGCACACACCTGTCCCCCGAAAACGAAGGCATGTTTTCCCACCACCAGTGAGCAGAAGGACAGCATCGCCAAGATGGTGGTGACACTCTCCGACCCGGGTGACAGTGCTGACACGGGGGTCGCCCCGCGGCCCCTCCGGCTGGCCCCCGCAGACGCGGCCTTGTGGCCAGAAGCCACGTCACTTCCTGCAGGAGGTTAGAAAGCTCGAGACTGGTTTGGGAATTCCAGTCTTCAGAATCCATAGGCGATTCCATCCCAGCATCGAAGCAGAAGAGGCACATCGGCGCCGCACCCGGACAGAGACCTTTATGGCAATTCTTTCTTGTTCCACAAAAGTCGATGGAAAACAAAACACAGAATTCTCAAGCGATATTTATCAATATATATAATTTGCCATCCAAATGCTTTTTAAAAAGTAATAAATATCTTCTTATTACACATTAAATTTACACGGAGTTCTCTCCTAATCCTTGGATTTTAACATCAAATGTTTAACTCTTGTTCAATTCTCAGTGCAAAGAAACATTCACATACTTAAAGTTTTTACAGTATTTATTCTGGAACAAGTTTTATTCAAAAGGCAAATGAACAGAGAACATTGCACTCACTGCTGACACACAGTCATCACAGAGAAAGGTAACCCAATGTGCAAACAGAGGTGCCCACGTATTTCTGCTCTGTGGACCGCTGCTGGATTCAGTGGCGCACACAATCTGGCTGTGGTAGGAACGCCCCGGGTGCGTGTGGGCTGACGACGTGTGACACGCGGGACCACACCTGCACTCTCCGTGCGCGTGGCTTGCTACCTACAGCGCCTCAAGGTGACGCAACAACACCAGAAACAAGCTCATACAAGGTTTCGTGTCTGGCACCTTCTTCCGTGAGAAGGGCTCCCCGCTCAGGGAGGAGCCCTGGGGAGTCCTTTTCAGGGCATCGGGGGGGGAGGGGACCCGAGGGGCGCAGCCGGCACCCCCCAGCGCCCCGGCCAGCGCCAGCCGCGGGGCGCGAGGAGGGTGTCCCTGCTGGCTCCGCGGCCTCCAGCCTCGCCTGTCCGCCTGTCGACACCCCCGCCCCACCCGCCTCCAGCTCGCACAACCTCCAGACTGCCCAGACCCAGCCGGGAGCCCCGGCCTCCACTGCCCTGTTGAACGTGGCCACGCCGGCCAGCAGGCCCGTCTGGCCCTCACGCCCTGTGCGTGCTTGTTTCCCAGCAGGTCACAGGTCCCCATCTCTCTGGGGACCCCAGCGCAGACCCTGCCACGTAGGAACCGTGCACAGACAGGGCCGAGAGAGATGCCCGCCAGCTGGGGGGTGCACGGCTGTGCCGGGGCAGACTGGTCGCCCCCAAGCATGCCAGGGAGGACAGCCTTTCTGCCCCTGTCCCTTCCTGCCCGTCGTCTCTGGGCGCTGCAGACACAGGCAGCACGTGAGACCGGATGTGCTTGTCCCCAAGCCCTTCTCCGTACCTTCACCCTCCTGCACTGTCATCCATCCTGGTGGCCTCCCCGCCCCCGCCCCTTGGTCACTTCCACAGAGCCCCCCCCCGCGGCCGTCCTGCCTGCTCCTGCTCCCTTGCACTTGGGTCCCCTCCTGCGGCACCCAGGACCCTCCTCCAGCCGTCTGCCGACGCCGGGCCCGTCAGCCCCCAAACTCTCCACGTCTGCTCAGCTCTCTGGTTGTCCTTGTTGCTTAAAATCCCAAAGCCCGGAGAGGAGGGCCAGGTGCCGTCACACCGCCTGCCCGCGGGGGCCCCCACACAGGTGCGTGGCTGTCGTGATCCGTGGAGGTACGCGTGTGCCCGCAACTGATATTCAAAGTCCTCATATAAAACTGCAGTTTTTCTGGCTGCTGTAAAATGTGCCAGTTTTAAAACTGTGCATTTGTTGCTGGCAAACTTATCAATATGTATAAAGCCCATTATAAATACACTGTGGCTGGCAGATGGCACTGATTGCCTGGGGTTCTAAATGCTCATTAATGCGCCACTTTTAAAGCCCAGAGCGTGGACTCTGGGACCCAGGACGCGAAGTGGAGGGAAAACATACAAACTGGAGGCGTGAAGCCCTCAGGAAGGGAGGGCAAAGGGCTGGCAGCTCACGCCTGATGGCGCGCCGCACTCCCTAGAGAAATGCACGTTCCTGGGCCCTGCAGACCTGCTGGGGTGGGGCCCTGGGGGCTCCCGGAGGACTGTGTCTCTGCCGGGGAGTCCCGGCGGGGAGTGTGCTCAGGTTTGCACACGGCCCGCTTTCCTCTGTGCCCGGCAGCGGCTAAACGCAGCTGGGTCCCGGCCAAGATGCGTCCACCCTGCCTCCCGCTGTGCCTCAGTCTTCCACACCATGGTGACTGGACCCATCGTGCTCTCCTCCCCGACTTCCTTCCCTTCCCCAGCCCCGGGCATCACCCGGAGAAGTGAAGGGCCCCAAACAGAAACACTTCCTCCTCCAGGAAAGGGGGAAACATGCAAACCCAAGGGAGAAGCGCTGTTGGCCGTTTTCCATCGGGGGTGGAGCATTATACACACACTGTTAAGGACCCTAATAAGTCCTTCGCTCTGTCCTAGATTCGGCCACTGACTGCCCCCGCACTGCGGCAAGTCTGGCCCTCGCTCCCCCAGAGAAGAGGGGGGTGTGCAGCTGCATGATCCTGATCCTGTAGCCTGCCTCACTCGGGACCCTCTGGGGAGCCACGGCGCATGCAGGTTTGTAACACCTTCCTGCCGAGCGGTTTTTCTGCTTCGTCTTTCCCAGGACCAATTTTCAAAGTTTCACTACAGAGCCTGGTATTATTCTGACACGTATGACCCAAGTGCAGTATTTCCGCAATCCCTCTCCCCTTCCTCGCCGCCACAGAAAGGCTCAGGGGCGCGCAGTGGGGGACGCACACGTCGGGGGGCACGCAGGGTGGACGGCACGCACGGGCCGAGCGCACACATATGCGTACCCCGCCCGCCAGAGAGCCCGTCACACATTTTCCCAAACATCCCAGGGGACAGCTGTCCTTCCTGTTGATGGACGTTCACCCCTGTCTTGGGCGGGGACGGTGCACGGCTCTGCGGTGCAGGTGGCACGTGGGCCAGCGCTCAGGGAAGGCCCAGCAGCACGTGTGAGGCCACGTGGCTCTGCTGGCGGCGCCCAGGGAGGCTTGTGATCTCATGGGAATTGCGTCCACCCGGTGACTGATTCCAGGACATAAGGACCAGGACCTCAGGCTTAAGGTGTCACTTATGGGGTCGGGAGATGCGTGCGTGCATCAGCCATCAGTCTGCCGAGCAGTCCAGGGCCTCAAGCGTCAGAGCTCTGTGAAACCGCTGCTGAGCAGCCCCCACAGGCATCCGGGGCCGCAAGTACCACTAATTCACACACAGGTGTGTGTGTGTGTGTGTGTGTGTGTGTGTGTGTGTGTGTGGCGGGGGCTGGGGGGGCCAGGCCTCCGATGCCGCACCTGTGCACCCCTGGGCAGGGGCCCGGGAGGGGGTGCACCCCAGGGGTGGCCAGGCACACTGCACGGAGAATGTACCCGGGACGAGAGGCCCCGGAGAACCCCGCCTTGCCCCCGCAGAGGCACAGGCCGGGGACTGGGCGACGGGGACCCAGGCTGGTCAGGGAGGGGCCCGTCTTCCCCTGGGAATCCTGAGCTCCTGGCGCCGCAGAGCCCAGTAACGCCAAGGCCGCTGGACAGCTTGGCTGCCCGCCCACTGAGCCTCAGTTTCCCCACCTGTGAATGAGGCTCCCTGTAACAGCCATCACACGACCTTGGAGGAGAGCTGGGGTGACCCGGGGAAGCCCCAATACGCTTCACACAGGGGAGGAACAAGGACAAGGGACCTGGCCGGCACCCGCTGGGTCCCCAGGCTGCTCTGGCGACTACAAAGGAGTGCAGTTTCCCACTGGCACTGTCCCTTTGTAAGCAGCCCTGGAATCTGAGCTTAAAAATACATGTTTTGCGTTAATATTGAAACAAAAATTTGATCTCCCGCCAATACCTCTAATTTTTTAAATTGATTCTCATGCAGAAAAAACATGGTATATATATATTGCTTATCACCATTGAGAGAGACACTGACTTCGCAGCAGAGAGCTCCCACACCTGCAGATTATATCCCTCTTATATCCCCAAGAAGGAAAAGAAAGCAGGTCACACGTTCAGGGTCTCAGGGTCCCCAGGCAGCCTTTCCCACATTGCCCTGAAACATTAGCATTTGGGAGGTGCCCTTAACACTGCACGATGGGCCACTAAAAAGTCAGTTTATCCACCTTTATGTCTGTGTATGCTCCCACACTGGGGTGGGACTTCTGGTATGTCTGCAGGGCCGCAGGGGGACGGGGTGCACGCGGTCCCCACCCCCATCCCGTCCACGTCGTCACAGGGCAAGAGCCTGAACTACTGCTGCCCCATCCCCGTTCAGTCCCCACCGCCTCTGAGTGACCTGGGCAGAGTATCCACACTGTGACTGAAACCAGAACCGTTCTCGGAAGAGGCAGAGGGTCCTACATCAGTTCCGATCCATGGCAGAACATTCTAGAAGATGGAAGCCACTGGCATCTTGGATTCACTGGACCCTCAATAGACAAAAACTCCTAAGAAGGCTCCAAGCACATCTGCAAAGCTGCCTGACCCACCCTCACCCGTGAGCTTCACCCCGTCATCCCCCCTGGACACACACATCCCAAAAACAGAAATGGGGTTCATTTAGCATTAGAACTTCACAGTCATTCATCAGAATTTTTTAAATCTACCCTTAACTCCTCACTCTTGAAGCACTGAATTATTACTGTCTCGCTCTAAGTGTGTGGCGAGTCCCCCTGTGGCTCTGACCCAGGGGTGCCTCATGCCGTGGGGTCGCACGGGATGGGGGCCTATGCCATGGCACCAATTGGAAGGTGACAGCCAATGAATGAATCCTTCTAGCTTTTAAAAGACGGCATCTGTTAAGTCACATGGTAATGTCAACCTGGCATTTACAAGTTAGAGGCCCTGTCGGCCTCCTGACGCTCAATGACCCAGTAAGAAACCCTAGTACTTTAGCTCAAAGGAGGGGCCGAGACAGAGCTCCATGGGCCAGGCGTCCTTTCCACGGAGCAACTGGAGAGTCTGCTGTAGAGACAGCCAGCCACCTTACCCACCAACCACTCGAGAAGCAGAAAACCTCAGATGGATCCCGCAAGCCCCTGCGTCACCAACCTCGGGCAAACGCAGGGCAAGAGCCACTGCCGTGCACATGTCTCGGGGGCGGAGCTTGCGTGGTAGGTCTGCCTTCCACGCCACGGCCGTGCACACATCTACCGGACCGAGCACCGTGTTAGATCTGCCTTCCACACAGCTCGTAAGGTGCGTTTTCCTCTGTCAGATTAAGGGCAGGGACAGTTTTCTAGCAGCCACCTCAGCAGCCTGTGATCATCGGATTGGCTGGAAAGACACAGAAGCCAAGACTTCGCCCCAATCAGCCCTCCGCCCACTCTTGTTTTGTGTCATGATGCAGGTGAGAGCGATGGAAGAGTTTGCCAGTGAAGATGTTGGTCACTGAGGTTCATTTTGTGCCACATCTGGCAGTTACACAGCTCTTTGAGGGCCCTGGACCACTGCGGTCAAGGGGGACGGCATTCCTGTGCTCAGGCACCACCCGAAACAGCGGCCCTGACACTCAGTTCAGCAACACCAGGTGTCAGGTGCGGGAGCCAGGAGCACACGGTGCAATACAGACGGCGGGGGAGGCGTCATCACGCAGGGAGGGGGCGCCAACACCCCCGAGTGGCAGCCACCAGGACCAGAGCCAGACCCGACACTTATCACCACCCCCTGCTCGCTTCTGGTCCCCGTGTTGTGCTTATCAGGCAAAACTGCAGATCTCACCTTCTGAGGGGAATTTCTCAGGAGAATGGGTTAGCTGAGTTACATTTTTTTGCCCAGACAACTAGAGTCAAACTTTTTTTCCATTAAAAACATACAGCACAGAACATTAGTCTTACATCTTTCTTAGTCTTAAAAAATATAAATATAGAGGGCTAATTTGTACAGGATGTATAGGTATGTACACCTTTCATATGCACACGAGAAAATCAGGACAAGTTTATGAAACTTGCACTTTACGGACACCTTCCTCCTGAGGCATTTGGACAAGGCTCTGAGCCCGCGGGCGGCTGCCTGAGTTTCCGTACCCCTGTACCCACTTCCCGGGAAGAACCAGGTCTCCTGACCACCAGTGCAGGGTCAGGACGGGTGGCTGGCCGGTCACAGGGGCTTCTCCACCGGCTGCTGCAGGCAGAGCTCGCTTCCGGCGGAGACAATCGGCAGGCTGTTCTCCAAGTGGTGGTTGATGAGGTGGCTGATGCTGTCAAAGACCCTGTCCTTCGTCCGGATCTGGGAGGGACACAGAGAGCAGGATGCGTGACCCATGGCAGAGAAGAGAGAACGCGTGTGCTTAGAGGCAGCCCCGGACCGTGGGAAGCAGAGCTGTGGCATCCCCGGGGCCCCCTGCACACTCTCAGAGACATGTCTGCAAAGTCCCCAGTGATCGTCACTGGCCAGCCCTTTAGCCCGGCACCTGCCATCTGCCTTCGGGAGCCACCCTGCCCTCCATGACCAGCCTTTTCTCCCCTGATCCCCTCCTGCCCTCAAAAGACCTTTCTGGCCATCCTGCACTCCCACCGGGAGGGGGTCCATGTAGCCGCATTGGGGGTCAGAGGGTGCAGTGTGGCACACTCCTGGTTGCTTGGTGCGATGCCTGTCCGCCAGCCTCTGAGCAAGTGAACACCTGGGGTGGGGGGTGGGGCCACCACTTCCCATTGCTCACCAGATGTGCGCCCTCATCCTTCAGCTGCTACATTCCCAGTGTAGACCACACTTGAAGAAGACAGAGGACGCCTGGCCAGGAGCAGTCTCCCATCTGCTGTGGACACAGCCCCCATGGCCTCTCCATTGAGGGGTGGGAGACGGGGAGGAAGCCGGTGCCTGGCTATGTGCCCATTGGCCCTCCAGGCCCTGAGATGGTCCTCATAGTGGCTCCTGGATGCCCTGGGCATCTGACCTCTTTCTCCCCCAGGGATCCCTGGGGCAGTTGGGCAAGGGGATGGGGGCCATACCGTCTGCTTTAGGCATGGTGGGCTCAAGTTGCCTAGGGAACACTTAAATTAGGTTCCGGTAGTTAGAAATACTGTTTAGAGATACTGTACATTAACAAGTACACTCAACCAGTGACAGAGTGATTATTTCCAGAAGGTCACACTAGCTGGGGCAAAGCCATCAGACAAGATATTTCCTGGTTAAAACCTGGCTCCGGTGGAACAGGATGCACACTCAGACCTGCGGCTTTTTGTCTCGTGTCTCAGCTTGGGCTGGATCCACTGGTAGACTGTCCGCTTCCAGAGGCTCAAGCCCAAATACAACCTAACCCGAGTGGGATGCAGACCCCCCCTCCCCCAGCCACGTTGCCTGGCCTCTCTCAGATTCGAAATTAAGGTGAGGTTCAGGCCCTTCCTAGACCCAGCGGATGCAGTGCCAGGTTCACATCAGGCCCCGAGGCTGCTGTGCCAGGAGGCGGCCTTGGGACCGTGACTCACAACTGCTTACACCCTTCCAGTCAACACCTTGCCCACATGGACGCTCCTTTTCCCCAAAAGCAGGAGGAAACGTTAGAGACTCACAAACAACCTAATCTCCCACCTTAAGACACGAAAAACCCTGAAGCGAGCAGGAGAAAGGACATCATAAAGATTAAAGCAGAGATACAGTAGAGAATGGGAAAATAATAGAGAAAAACCAATGAAACAAAAAGTGCGTTCTTTGAAAAGACCAACAAATTTGGCAAAGTTGGAGGATTCACACTTCTGGATTTCAAAACTAGGTACAAAGCTACAGTAATCAAAATAGTGTGGTACTGATATACAGACAGGCATATAAGGCAGTGGAAAAGAACAGAGGGTCTAGAAATGAGCCCTTGCATATGCGGTCAAGTGGTTTTTGACTAGGGTGCCAGGACCATTCCACAGGAAAGGAACAATTAATTTCTTCAACAAATGGTGCTGGGGAAGCTGGATGTCCACATGTAAAAGAATGGAGTGCCCGTAGCTGATGCCATACACAAAAATTAACTCAAAATGGATCAAAGACCTTAATGTAAGACCTAGAATTCTTAGAAGAAAAAGCTTCAAGACACTACATTTGCAGTGGTTTCTTGGATATGGTACAAAATGCACAGACAACAAAAGAAAACCAGATGAATTGGACATCATGAATATTGTAAAATTTTGTGCATGAAAAGACACTATCACAGAGTAAAAAGGCAACCCACAGGATGGGGGGGTAAATTTGGAATGGAATTTCCATGAATGGAATGTTCCTCGACCACAGCAAGGACACTAGCCACAACATGGATGACCCTTGAAAGCACTGCACTCAGCAAAAGAGGCTAGTCACAAAAGTCTACATATTTACAGGATTCCATTCAGAGGGAGGTCCAGAAGAGGAAACCCGCAGACACTGGGCGATGGGAGGCTGGCGGGTGACAGCCGAGCACCCAGCCATTTCTCCTGTAGGTGGTAAACATGTTCCAAATGGGCTGTGGTCACGGATGCACCCGTCTGTGAATATACTAAACACCACTGGGTTGTACTCTTGAAATGGGGCTTTGTGTAAAGTACATCCCAGTACGGCTGCCTTTAAAGTCTCTGTGTCCATCTCTTTCCAGAAGAGCCGGGGGTCAGGGCACAAGGGACACGAAGCCACAGGGACACCACAACCCAAATCGTAATGTGGGATATCCTACAGACAAGTTATCTAGTCGCTCAAGCAAACCACTGGCGTCAGGGGAAATGGGAGGAAAACAGAATAAGAGGCTTCAGAGACTCACAAAATGTACTGCATGGACCATGTTTGAATTCTGATTCCAACAAACGTACTATACGCAGAACATCTTTGAGATAATCAGGGAAACTTGGATATGCTGAATGACCAGTTTTGTTGGCTATAACAACGGTGCTGTGTTGTTGCTGCCTAAGCGGCCGGACACCTGGACGTGGTACCGAATGTTTCGGAGATCCTCCCTCCCTTTCTCTCCAGCCGTCTCCTTCCTGACCGGCCGGGTGGTCCAAACGCCAAGGAAGACAGGCGCTGTGCTCAGGGTCGGGACGGCCACAGTGGTCCCCAGTGGGGGACTGAATCCAGGCACAGCGAGGAGTGCACCACAGGACAGGCGCAGGGGTCGGAGGCGCCTGGGCCGGGAGGGGACGGGCATTAGAGCCGGGAGGGGCGGTCAGAGCAGGCTCAGGGCAGGGAGGCCGGTGTCCCCGCTGGGCCAGGGCAGGGGCCGCCGCTGTGATGGGGGTACATCTCACACAGGGGTGGGGGGGTTAACCAAGTAGGTGAAAATACTAAACTTAAGGGGTCAGGCTTCTCATCGCTGGAGAAGAGAGTCAGAAATGCAAGAAAAGAAACAAGGCTGAACTCTGTGATATGAGACTGGAACTGGAAGAATTACGAGAGCGTATGACTTCTAATGTCCAGAGACGGACAGACAAATGGACACAGACACAAGCGTGTGCATCTGTGCGCATGTGCATCCGCGTGTCTGCACCAGTCCGTCCACCTCGAGGGCGTGGGGGCAGCACCCCCACTTGCAGATCCTGGTCTCCCCGTGACAGGCGGCCGGGCCAGGCTTCCTTCCGCAGAGTCCGGGTGGCAGGGCTGCGGCAGAGGAAGATGGTCCCATGATGTCCGTTTGTATTTGAAGGAAGAAGGTGCAGAAGAACGAGGACAAAGGGACAGCATCAGAGGGACACGGAGATAAAGTGGCTGGTGACAACCCACAGAACAGCACGTGCAGCCGCAAATCCACACAGATGAAAACAAATGAATTAACAGGTCGGAAGTTGGATTGGGAAGAGGGTACTTATATAGTTTCAAACTGCCTCCTCCGAAATATTTAATAATTAACAGGGAAGGAGAGATGTGCAGGGGAGGAGCCTGCCTGATGCCCCCTCCGACCAGCATCCAAGAGACCACTCCCACCTCGGTGTCTCTGTGACCGCGTGACCCAGTGGCATGACCTGACCCGATCTGAGGACAGGTCAGAAAACCGGACAGAGCAGGGGCCCGGGGAGGGGGACTGAGGACCCCTGACAGCCCGAGGCCATGCGGGATTCTGAGCAGATGCTTTCGGGAAAGGCCGTTGCGGGGGCGGCTGGGGGGCAGGAAGGGGGTGTGCGGGGGCGGCTGGGGGCAGGGAGGGGGTGTGCAGGAGCAGGTGGCAGTGGTGCATCGGGGTGAAGGTGCAATTCTGGTGGCTGCACAGGACACCGGCCCTGTGTGCGCGACACACACTCAGGTACTGGGAGCAGGATACTCCCAATCATCCCACGGAAGAACGTTGTCCTTTACACTGAAACAGTATGGTTCCCTCTAAAATAACCGACGGGGTGAACTGAGATTGGAACGATATTGGTAAATCTTGCGGCGAGAACCAGGAGCATGGGAGTTCATTACGCTCTGTCTCTATTTTGTGCGTTCAGAAAACACTAAAGGTGCTGCTGATGGAGGCGGAGGGGGAGACAGAGAGGTTGCATGGACACTACCAGCGCTGCTGGACAGAGAGGGGCTTGATGCATTTACAGGCACAAGACAACCTGGAGAAATGAAAACACTTGTCAAAAATTGGAAAATGGGCTAAACTTTAGTTTTCAGGGGAGCATCATGAAATGACACCTGTTGGGGTGCCTAGAGGCTCAGTTGGTTAAGCGTCCGGCATGGGCTCAGGTCAGGATCTCCTCATCAGTGGGTTCCAGCCCCAGCTCAGAGCTGGAGCCTGCTTCAGATTCTGTGTGGGTGTCTCTCTCTGCCCCTCCCCTGCTCATGCTGTCTCTTTCAAATTAAATAAACATTAAAAAAAATGATGACACCTATAGACACCCAGAGCAGTCTGAGCGCCAGGGCGGACCCGGAGAGGAAGCCTGGTTGTGCTTGACCCCCAGAGTCAGGCAGGGGGAGGGGCAGGGGCTGTCACTTCTCATCAAGCCTGTGGGTAACATCTTTCCAGGTTACACTTTCCAGGTACTATGCTGATAAGAAGTAAAAAGATGAGAGGGCCTTACCCACCACTGCCCTGCTCATACATCCCTAGTCTGTCCTGCACTCTGGCCAGTAAGGCAATGAGGTCCGTGTGTCGCTTCCCCCACGAGGCCACTGACCACTCCTGCCGTCCCCATCCCTCTCTTCTCCATGGAGCCCCCAGGTTGACAGGACAAGCCTGGGAGATGGGGGGCCCTGGGATCCAAGTCACCCAACCAAGGACCCGAGGAGCAGGGGTGGGTGAGTGGGGACTGAGCTCCCTTGGCTCAGAGCAGTGAGACTTCCCATTTCATCTTTCG